GTCAGGGGGATGTGAATAGCTTGTGTGGGTGGGGGTGGGTTTTTGTGTGTGTGCGTGTGTGTACTGGTTTATGTGTGTGTGCGCGTATGAGTGTGTGACGGTGTGGGTGTTTGTGTGATTCTCCGTTTGGACTTCTCTGTTGACACCCACTCCTTGGCGCTCATATAACCTTATGCAGTTGTGAGCGCCGTAAAACCTTACTAAAACAAAACTAAGACAGGTCCTCTCCGCCGCATCTCTCTCCCCAGACACCTCAGATCCCGGCGGGCCGACTGTTCCACGCGGCGGGGGTTGTGGGCGAGGCCATGTACATCTTTGGGGGCACCATCGACAACAACGTGCGCAGCGGAGAAATTTATAGATTCCAGGTCAGTTGAGAGAGTGTGTGTCTTCCAGGGGTGTCAGTTGTCCCGATAATAATAATAAGAAGAAGAAGAATAGATTGCATTTATATAGCGCTCTATCCCATACTAATATAAGCTCTGAGTACTTTACGTCAATCACAAGATCTGTGAGCGATTCACACAAGATGAAATATTTCACAGTTGCAGGAAGAACTAGTTCAACCTGATAAAGAAAAACTTTCACAACCATACGTTAATTCTGTACACTGAGAATCCAGATTGATGAAATTGTCAATATTGTTCACTTTCCGTAAATAGTTTAGATCCACACCATGTATTAGACGTTGCTGCTGGCACATTTGGAGTCTCCCCACGTACATTTCTGTGGCGGTTGAAAAGTTCCAACATTTTTTTAATGAGTTTGGTTGACACCTTTGATATGAGTATGTGTGTGTGCGTGCGTGTGTGGGTGCGTGCGTGTTTGGGGGGAGGGGATGTCCTGCGATTGACTCACCAAAAAAGGAAAGATGCCTGGGTTGCAGCGACTATCAAAATGGATTTTATTTTTTACTGAAATGAATTTACACAGTCAGCTTGAGATTTTACTTCTTTTTTTTTTTAGAATCTGGTGTCGGAGACCATTAGGGTAAACATGGCCGACGCGTACATTTTACCGTTCTTATAGATGTTTGTCTGGCAGAAATGTTCATTACCATTGATGTCTTCCCGTAGGTCAATTCTTTAAAGGAACATTTTACTGAGGAAATTTTGCTTTCATTGGACGTTCTTGAGCTTTCGTTGTATTGTGAGTTTTCGTGCCCCCCCCCCTTAGACTCAGTCCTGTGGCAGACTGGCTTTATATTTGTTCAGAGGACCTGTCTCTTCCACAAAATGACGCTGCTACAATTGTGTAGTTACCGATACTTTATCATTTCTTTCCTGTATGGTCCTCTTCCCCTCCCAGTTTTCCAGTTACCCGAAATGTACACTCCACGACGACTACGGGAAGCTGCTGGAGAGCCGACAGTTCTGTGATGTGGACTTTGTCGTTGGAGAGGTGAGACGAGAAACACATGTCACACTTTTTAAAACATCTCTTACATTGTTATCATCCGGTGCCAGACCTGCAACAGACATCGAGGATCATGGTTCTCCTTTTTATTTGTTTGGTTATAGAGAAAACAGCATATTTGTAGACAGCCCCCTTGTGCTTTAAAGCAAACAAATTATCTGCTTTCAATAATTTAAAAAATGTTACATGGTTTTCCATTCATTCCTTTGCTCGGATGCTCTCAAAAAAGCTACATTTCCCTGATCTTTCCCTGTTACCCATTTGTTTAGGTTCCCTAAGTAGGTTGCTCTGGGCCTACCCCTGCCCCGTTTGCCTTTGATTTTAGACCACCAAGTTTGCCTTGATAGTTGAAGCAGACTTTGTGCTGTTGAAGCTAGAGAGGTGAGCAGAGTAAGTCTGATTCCCTGTTTAGACTTCTCTTTTGACATCCACCCCTTGGCGCTCATATGACCTTATGCAGTTGGGAGCGCCTTAAAGACCTTACTAAAGGACCGATAGATGACTGTCATGTGTTG